AGTTTGTCAATATTCACAAAGTAACTTGTTAGGATGATAATTGAGATTGCATTGAATCTACAGATCAAGTTGGAAAGAAGTGACATCTTAATACTGCCTTGTAGCTATGAACATAGAATATCTATTTAGTTATTTAATTTTGTTTATCACAACTTTATAGTTTTCCTCAGATACATCTTGTACATAGGTTTCCCCATTTAAAGGTAGAGCATCCCTATGAAAACTTTCATAAGCCTAAACGGCATAAAGTGAAGAGTACCCCTCACTTTTTGAAAGTTTGCTTTACACCACTTTGTTTTTCAAAAGGCCTATAATAGTCTCTGTCTTACTAACCAAAAGAAATTCAAAGAGGATTTTTACTGTTACAAGAAAAGCCATTACCATACTAATTAGGACTTTTGTAAAAGCAAAGTGCCATAATGTGTATTTTGTTAAATTTATACCTGAATATTTCATTGTTTAATGCTAATGTAAATGTTACTGTGCTTTGAATTTCTAACTTCATTGTTTATTGCTGGTATAGAGGGAAAAAACAGTCTGTTATGTACTAACCTTGTATCCTGCAGACTTGCTATAATTGCTTATTAGTTCCAGGAGTTATTTTTGGCAATTGTTTGGGATTTACTATATGGACAATCATATCACTTGTTAAGTAAGACATTTTTATTACTTTCTTGCCAATTTGTATTCCTTTTATTACTTTTTCTTGTCTTACTATATTAGTTAGTACTTCTAATATGTTGTTGAAAAGCAGTGGTGAGAGGGGCCATCTTTGTCATGCTCCTGATCTTAGTTGCTTACCATTAAATAGGAGGTTAGGTGTAGATTTTTTTTGCTAGATATTCTTTATCAAGTTGAGGAAGTTCCCCTGTATTCTAGTTTGTTGAGCATTTTTTAACATTATGAGTGGATGTTGGATTTTGTCGAATGCTTTCTCTGCATCTATTGATATAATTGTGTGATTTTTCTTTAATATATTTTTATGTATTTCATAAAGGAAGGGAGAGGGAGGGAGAGATAGAAACATCAATGATGAGAGAGAATCATTGATTGGCTGTCTCCTGCATGCCTCCCACTAGGGTTCGAGCCCACAACCCGAACATGTATCCTGACTGGGAACTGAAAAATGACTTCCTAGTTCATAGATCGATGCTCAACCTCTGATTGAGGCAGATTGTGTGATTTTTCTATTTTAGCCTGTTGATGTGATGGATTGCATTCATTGATTTCTTCAGTATTGAACCAGCCTTCCATCTCGGGGATAAATCTTATTGGTCATTGTGTACAATTCTTTATTTTTTAAATTCATCTTTATTGTTGAAAGTACCACAGATGAACCCTTTTTTACCCCCATTGACCCCTTCCTTCCCATTCCTGCCCCCTCCCCAGGCCTTCACCACACTATTGTCTATGTCCATGGGTTATGCATATATGCATGTAAATTCTTTAATCTCTTCCCACCCCAACCCCTCTTCCCTCTGAGAGTCATCAGTCTGTTCCATGCTTTCATGTCTCTGGATCTATTTTGTTTGTCAGTTTATTTTGTTCATTAGATTCCACATATATGTAAGATCACATGATATTTGTCTCTCTCTCTGACTGGTTTATTTAGCTTATCATAATAATCTCCAGGTCCCTTCATGTTGTTTCAAAGGATAATAGATCTTTCCTTCTTTTTTACAGCTACATAGTATTTCATTGTGTAAATTATCTACTCATTTACTGATGGGTACTTGGGCTGTTTCCAGATATTAGCTATGTACAATTCTTTTTATACATAGTTGGCTTCTTTTTGCTAATATTTTGTTGAGAAATTCAGCATCAATGTTCTTCATTTTTCCCCTGTAATATCTTTATCTAGTTTTAATGTTAGGCTACTGCTGGCCTCATGGAATGAGTTAGGAAGTGTTTGTTTTTTGGGAGAGATTACAGATAATTGGTATAATTTCTTCCTTAAATATTTGATAGAATTTGCCAGTGAATTTACCTGGGCCTGGTACTTTCTGTTTCAGAAGGCTATTAATTATCAATTAAATTTTTTAAATATAAAAAAGACAAACTTTTCAGATTGTCTATTTTTCATTGGGTGAGTTTTGGCTTACTATTTCTTTCAAGCTATAATCACCTAATACACTGCTGCTAGAATTGGTTCATTTTATATAGGTTAGCATGTGTGGGCATAGCTTTGTTTGTAACATGCCTTTATTATTCTTTTGATATCCATAGTGTCAGTAGCTCTTTGATTTCTAATATTTGTGTTATCCTTTTTTTTTAAGTTAGCCTGGCTAGAAGTTTATCAATTTTATTGAACTTTTCAGATAAGGAGTTTTTTTGTTTCATTAATTTTCTGTATTGATTTTTTGTTTTTAATTTCCTTGATTTCTACCTTAACTTTTGTTATTTTGTTCCACTTATTTTGGATTTAATTTGGGATTTTTTGTTGTTGTTGTTTCTAGTTTTTTACATGGAAACTTCTATTACTGATTTTAGAGCTTTATTTTCTAATATGTGCATTCTATGCTATAAATTTTCTCTAAGCACTGATTCACTGCATCTCATAAATTTGATTAAATAGTATTTTCATTTTCATTTACTTTGAAATATATTTTGTCTTAAGAACTCTTCTTTGATCCATGAGTTATTTAGTGGTGTGTTTTTAAAATTTCCAATAGTTTGGGATTTTTCAGATGTCTTTCTGTTATTTCTAGTTTAATTTCATTGTGGTCTAAGAGCATACTTTGTATGATGTTGATTTTTTTTTAATTTTTAAAGATGTGTTTTATAGCCAGAATGTAGTCTATCTTGGCTAATGTTCTATGTGAGTTGGGGAGAATGTTTAGTCACCTGTGGTTGGATGAAGTATTATATAACTGCCAATTAGATCCAGATGATGATGGTGCTAGTCAGTTTAGCTAGATCCCTACTGATTTTCTGCCTGCTCATCTGTCAATTACTAACAAGAGGGGACTGAAGACTCCAACTATGGTCATGGATTTGTGTCTCTTTCTCCTTAAAGTTTTATCTGTTTTGTCTCATGTATTTTGATACTCTGTGTGAGGTACATACACAGGATTATAATGTCTTCTTGGAGAGTTGACATCTTTATCATTATGTAATGCCCCTCTTTATCCCTGATGATTTCCCGTTCTGAGTCTGAGAGAAAATCAGCTTTGCCTAAAATTAAAATAGCTATTCCAGCTTTCTTTTGATTAATAGTAGCATGGTATATCTTTCTCCATCCCTTTTAATCTGTCTTAAAAATTAAACTGAATTTTTTTAGACAAAATGCCCTTGGGTTCTATCTTTTATTAACCCTGTCAGTCTTTATCTTTTAATTGGTATATTTAGACCATTCACATTTAAAGTGATTCTTGATAGAACTGGATTAATATCTACCACCTACTGATTTCTATTCATTACCTTTGTTCTTTGTTTCCTTTTTTGCCTTCTATTTTTCTGCTTTCTCTTGTTTTAATTAATATTTTATATCATTCTCTTTTCTCTTAGCATATCACTTATAATTCTCTTAAATTTTTATTTTTGATTTTTAGGAATTACCCTAGAGTTTGCAGTATATATTTAAATCCACTTTCAATAACATGATACCTTTCATAGGTAGTTCAGGTAATTTATAATAGGCTATTCCCAATTCTTCTTCCTCCTGTCCCTTATAACATTGCTGTCACTCATTTCACTATTTAAGCTATAATCGCCTAACACACTGCTACTAATTATTTATAGTTCTCCATTAGATCAATTAAGAATAGAAAAGTTGTTTACTTTCATTTATTATTTTCTAGTGTTCTTTTCTTCATGTAGATCCAAGTTTCTGACCTGCACCATTTTCCTTTCTCTGTTAAGAACTTCTTTTAACATTTCTTCCAACACACGTCTACTGGTGAATAATTTCCTCAGTTTGTTTGCCTGAAAAGTCTTTATTTCCCATTCACTTTAAAATAATAATTACACTGGATACAGAATTCTAACAGCGGATTTTCTTTCAACACTCTAAATATTTCTCTCCATTCTCTCTTGCTTGCATGGTTCCCAAAGAAAAGTCTGATGTAATTCTTCTCTCTGCTACTCTATAGGTAAGGTGTCTTTTTCCTCAGGCTTATTTCAGTATTTTTCTTTGTTTGATTTTCTGAAATTTGAATATGATGGGCCTTCATGTAGATTTTTTTTATCCTATTTGGGTTCTAAGAGCTTCCTGGAACTGTGGTTTGGTATGCCATTAATTTTTTAAAATTGCCAGCCATTATTACTTCAAATATTTCTTCTCCTTTCTCTCTTTTTCCCCCCTGGCATTCCCATTACCTATGTGTTACACTTTTTTAATTTTTTCATAATTCTTGAATATTCTATTTCTCTTATTTTAAATTCTATTTTCTCTTTACATTTAAATTTAGCAAGTTTTTATTGACATATTTAAGCTCACTGATTAAGTTTCAGTTGTGAAAGGCATTCTTCATTTCTGGTGCAGTGTTTTATGTGTTTTAGCATTTTCTTTTGATTTTTAGAGTTTCCAACTCTCTGTTAATATTATACATCTGTTCTTAAATGCTGTCCATTTTTTTCCCAATAGAGCTCTTAGCGTGTTAATTATAGGTATTTTAAATTCCCAGCATAATAATTCCAAAGTCTCTACCATCTCTGAGTCTGGTTCTGATGTTTGCTTTATCTCATCAGACTGCATTTTTTTTTCTTGCCTTTTATTACACCTTGTAATTTTTTTGTTGAAAGCCAGACATGATATATTGGATAATAGGAACTAAGATAAATAGGCCTCTAGTGTGAGGTTTTATGTGTATCTGGCAAGGAGCTTGACTGTGCCTAATGTTTGCTCTAGCTGTAGGCGTCACAGGCTTCAGTTTCCTTTCATGTCCTTTCCTTAGAAACTTCTTTTAAACAGTGTGTCTTGCAGACCTCTCCGTTGTAATCCACTGTTATTATCCCGGAGCCCCTTTACTATGGTCATAAAGTTTTGGGGAATTTTATGATCAAATCTCCATTTTTAGTGAGCTGGCATTAGTGGGCTGTGACCTTTAGAAGAGTTTCTTAACCATGCCAGGTAGAAAGGCAAAAGGGGGCTCCAGTTGTCTAATTGCTCTTCCTCTAGGTCAGATGACACTTTCATAAAGAAGTTTCCCTGAGGGCTCGCCTTTGTTTCAGAAAACTGAAGGCACTGGATGGATTTCAAAATGATTGCCCTTTCCCTCCCCTCGCCTGAAGCAAGAGGGCGTTTTTCTCTGATCTTCACTGTGAGAACCTCAAGTGGCTTCTGAAGGTAAGACCCATGAGAGGGTGGATGCTCCCCTAAGACTGGGTGCTGCTTCCCCAGGTTTTCAATGCTTGATTTGGTCCACATTCAGTCTCCAGCAATTCACCAGTTGCTGTTTAAGTGCCCTCTACCCATTACTGGCTCCTAGGAAGCTGGGATTCTTTGCATTCACCTATGTCTTCAGTATTCAGGACAGTGATTTGTCCTGTGACCCTAATTCTCTGATGGATGTAATAAAATGTTGATTTTCAGTTTGTTTAGCTTTTCTTCTTACTGAGATGACAGAAGTGACAACTTTCAAGATCTTCAAATGTTAGAACAGAAACCAGAAGTCTTCATAATATTTTTATATACATTACATCTTTTTGACTACATAAAAGGGGGAGGTATACAGATCTTAATGATTGACATTTTACATATAAAGAAACTGAGGTGAAACTAACCTTGATCTTCTAGTGCCTGCTAAGAGTCTTCCAATAAAGATCATTATGTTTAGGCATTAATGCATATGAAGCAACTTGAAAGAAAGTTTTCAGTTTAAGTAGCATGATATGAAACAGACTGAACTGGAATATCCTGTTATAAATATCCTCAAGCCTGACTTAGCCCCCAGTTCACTTTTAGGTTTTAAGAAACTCACAACAATGGGAGCCTCAATTTCTCAATGTGAATCCGAAGCAAGAACAAACCACATGATCACTGAGGTCTCTTATAATCACAAAGTGAAACCATTGTATTTAGGCCCTATATTTTTTGGAAGAGAGTTTGCATATGTGCGTATCTGGAGTATGCATGTGTGGAAAGGGAAACTTCAGATTTCTTTCTGAACTGCTTAATTAATCCCTTCCCTTAAATGAAAAGCCTTCGCATCTTTAATTCTTTAAAGGACATGGCACTGTAGCTTCTCCTGTTTCAAGCAGGACTTCCTTCCAGGACACCTCATCTTTGGGCAGTCCTTATGTTTTCTCCTTCTTGCAACTCTACCACCATTACTAACCACGGATTGTCTCAGTTAAATGTCACTTCCTCAGAGAGACTTTCTTTGAACCCTTAACCAGTGGTTCTCAACCTTCCTAATGCCACGACCCTTAATACAGTTCCTCATGTTGTGGTGACCCCCAATTTCATTGTTACAAATTGAACATAATTAAAGCATAGTAATTAATCACAAAAACAATATGTAATTATATATGTGTTTTCCGATGGTCTTAGGCGACCCCTGTGAAAGGGTCGTTCGACCCCCAAAGGCAGCGGTTCTCAACCTGTGGGTCGCGACCCCTTTGGCGGTCAAAGGACCCTTTCACAGGGGTCGCCTAAGACCATCCTGCATATCGATATTTACATTACGATTCATAACAGTAGCAACATTACAGGTATGAAGTAGCAACGAAAATAATTTTATGGTTGGGTCACAACATGAGGAACTGTATTTAAAGGCCAGAAGGTCGAGAACCACTGCCCAAAGGGTCTCGATCCACAGATTGAGAACTGCTGCGACTAAGGCAGGATGCAGCACTTTCCCTTTCTGAACTTATTTGCTCATACCTGCGTCCCTTGTTATTCTGGAACCTACATGAAAGGTAGGAACCTGTGGCGGTCACTGCTGCACTCAGAGCTAACAATCTACAACAGTGCTGTTCGCCAGAACTCTGCAATGGTAGGAATCTGTAATCTGTACAGGTGGATTGTGTCCAGGACAAGTGTCTAGGACAAGTGAACAACTACCTCTCGGTGCATGGGATGATGTTCAACCACCTGAGCCACACCGGCCAGGGTGAACTACTGAGTTTTTAATTCTAATATAAATTTAAATAGTCATATGCAGTCTGTGGCTACATATCAGAAAATGAGAAACTAGAGGAATATTTCTTAAAGTCTAAACCAAGATGTCAGGAATCTGCATTTCAACCCACTCCCCCTCAATATATTGATTCTTACTATCAATATCATCTGACAACTATTAATTTAGAATGTGATTCTCACAGAGGAGGTTTGAAAAGAAAATGATTCTTGAGCCACACCCCTAGAGATTCTATTGCAGTGGGTCTGGTGTGGGGTCCAGGTATCAATATTTTAAAAACAAATAAACAAATAAATAAATAAAACAAAAAAACCTCCCCAGCAATTGTAATGTTCAGTCAGGTTTGAGAAGCCTAGTATATATGTTCTCCTGTGGCACTCAGCACATAGTAGATAAATGCATGGGTAACTGGTCTGGTGCACTGATAAAGGATTAGTGATTGCCAGTGAAATCTTACAAGAGAGGTCAGTGACATTAGCCGTTCAGATGAATTTCTGGATATTCAGTGGGGAAAAAAAATTCAGCTTCAGATAATCTTTCACAACTGTGTGAAATTCCTTGGCCTTTGGTTTTATCCATACATAGTACAAATAATACCTAGTTCTGTGATGTTTAGAGAGAGTGACATGCTCAGAGTTCCCCGAAAAATCACCTCTTCAAATACACAAAAGCCTTTCTAATTTGCTGGTGGACTGGCAAAGGGCTTGAGGACTCACCTGAGTCACATGACCACGCACTCTGGCACAGACGCTGAAGGAGGGTGCTCCCTACCCTGCTGCTCTCAGGCAAGACCTTTGGATCACCTCTGATAGAGCCTCCCTCCCCCTCCAGCCAGGTGTTTAGGTGGTTGTCCCCGCAGGAAGCAAAGGCTGGCCAGGCCACCAGGAGAGCCTAAGGAACAGGGTCTCCAGTGTAAGAGCCTTCCCCTCTCCTCCCCACCCCTCCCCACCCCGCTCCTCTACCCCTGCCCTGTGCTTACTAGTAGGTAACTGTCCGGGAAGGAAGTGGAGGCTGGCGAGGTGCCTGGAGGGCAGAAGGCATGAGGTTGGCGCAGGCTCCGCACCAGCAGCCAGCAGCTGTGGAGGCGGATCACGGGTTGCTGAGCAGGTGGGAGTTCAGCCACTAGCCCTGAGCGCAGTGAGTACAGCAACTCAAAGGAAATCCAAGTAACTTTGCAAGGGAGTTGTCTCATGGTGTTTCAAAATGTGCCCATGAGTAAAAAGAAAAATCAACGCTCAGAATAAATATGTTGAAGCCCTGCTAATTTTAGCCAAGACACTGGCAGAAGTTAGCAGATTAGAGGAAATTAACATGAAACTAAAACTAAAATGTTAGTTGAAGTGGAACAAACAGTATGGATCAGACCATAGCAAATACCAACCAAAGGTCTGCATAGAAGTTAAAATTGCTAGGAGAAATGTAGAGGAAAAGTATTTACCAATAAATGAAACAAAAGTACTAGAACAAAAATGAATGAATATAGTTTAATAGAATAGCAGTGGACATTTAAAAGTAAAAATTAAATCAGATGCTTAAACCTCAGACAGAAGGTAGGGGAGGGTGGGCGGTAAGGGAGAGAGATCAACCAAAGGACTTGTATGCATGCATATAAGCATAACTAATGGATATGGGGGGGGGTATGAGTGGGGGATTGGGAGACAATAGGGGATAAGGACTCATTTGTAATACCTTAATCAATAAAGGAAAAAATGTTAAAATAAAAAAGTCTTTACAATAAAAAACTACTTTAAAGTATATTAATTTAATTTAAAGTTTATTTAAAAGTAATTTGAGATTTATTGACTCAACAGGTTTGCACTGAAAAAGAATTGAGTGATGTTGCTAGATAAAATAATATTGCTATTCTTTTCCACAAAAATTTCATGGATTTAAAAAGAGGTAGACTCTTCCTTAGAGTATTGCCAACCCGCACTGAAAACACATCACATGCTTTCCAAAAAGTACCAGAGCCGTGTGCAATAAACTTCACTTATCTGCAGGAAACAACTTTAAGTGAAGTAACATTGATTAATGTTCATTCAACAGTCAAAATACAGCTCTTGTACTCTGATTAGCATTTCAGATTATTCCTTCAATGGAGTGAGAACTGGGAGGTTTAGGTCTGTCAATAGCCATCTTTTCACTAAAATAATTTGCCACTTTTGAAGGTTTGACATTCTCCTATCAATGAATGTGCTTATAAAGGTTTTATTTCACTTTGCTTGTTTTAACTAAAATAAAAAGTGGCTTCTTCGCCAAAACCTAATCTTGTATCTTTTTTAGTCCCATGGCATTCTTCCCAGGCACCTCCTACACCTGTGACCTATTGTAACTGTTTTATCTTAGCAAAAGTTCACCTCTGCTTGAAACTTGAGCAGTAGCCCATATAAGCCTTTGCAGGGGTGAAACTTTCTTTTTGCCTAACATTAAAACTACTCTTTTATTGGAATAGTGTTACTCTGTCAGAATTTAAATCTTCCTCAACTTCATCCCCGTGGAGGATGCTGTCTTACCAGCTGTGTTTGTTTTTGTTGTTGTTGTTTTAAGAAAGCACACACAATTTCAAATAGCTATTTTTCTTGCTAAAATTCACTCAGAAACTTAGAAGTTATCCTTGTTTTCAGTTAAATTATCCATAATAATGCCTAGGAACAGGTATTATAGGTAGCTGTATATTTAATGTTCTCTGTGCGAACATGTAAGAAGCAATACCTGGAAAAATTAAATATAAATAAAAGAGTAATATAAAAATCAACCGAATGGCGGAACGACCAGAACGACTGCCCAACCAGCTGCTATGAGGCGCACTGACCACCCCCCAGTCCCTTCCCCTTGGCCCCCCTCCTTCGGCCAGCAGGCTCTGATCGCCCAATGGTGAACAGGGAACTGGGGGTGGGTGGCAGCGGGGGGCAGGGCTGGCTGCCAGCAGCCAGGGAAGATGGCCCTGATCACAGGCCAGGCCTAGGGACTGTACCCGTGCACAAATTTCATGTGCCGGGCCCCTAGTTTTAAAATAACTAAAAATGTGGTTTCAGATGTACTTTATTCAATACATATCCACAAGAAGTTATTACTATAACATTACATTTGGAGGGGGAAAAGGACTGGATTATCCTCAGTTCCATTTCAGACAGCTTACATGGTGAAGTGAACCAAAAAGTCAGTGTACCACATATAAACTCAAGATGGCATTGTGGGAAGACTCTGGTTTCCTCCTGTGATAAAATGACTCCTTGTGTTATTTTTTTTCCCCTCATGTAGCTTGTACAACTAAAAAGATGAATTATGTTTATTAGCCTTTTCCAAATGTTACCTTATGAAAAATGCCTGATTCTTCGCTCTTTATGGTTTGAGGTCTTTTCTTCATAGGAGGACCAGAACTTTTTAATAAGCTTAGCAATGTTATCCAATCGAACTTATGTAATGAGGGAATGTTTTGTATCTACACTGTCCTGTGTAGTAGTTCCTGGCTATATGTGGCTACTGAGAATGTGGTTAGCATGACTGAGGAACTGAAATTTTTTAAACTTAATTTTAATTATTTTAAATGAAATTTAGTTATTCATATGTGACTAGTGGCTACCAGATTATACAGAGAACTGCCAGCTGCCTCACATTGTCCTGGACTGACTGATAATATTGTACAACACACCACTGCTAAACCTATACTTGTGGATATTCCTGAAGAGTGACTCTTCAAGGACCTAAATCTTGAGATTTAGGAGATTCTTGAAGAGATCTTTAGAAGATTATTCTATCTGTTCAGTTTATTTCTTAAGCCATAAAGATATAAGGGTTTATGAACTATTTAAATTACTAGACACTGGGGGTACTACTGATGAAGAAAAGTGCATTTATCTGTAGCGGATCCTGAGTATGTAATAGTGATTCAACCTACGCATGCCTAGAAGCTGTGTCGGAAATATAACAGGCTTTTGCTTGTTAAGGCACTAGTAGTTCTGAAAGTCTTCAGACATGCTCTCTCATTTGCTTATCGCAACAACCAGTTGAAGTAAACAGAGTCCTAGTCTACAATTTGTTTATTTTACCCATCTACCTACAAGAAGAATTTTTTATAATATAATAAAACTGTATCTAAATCTTAGAAGAAGTGAGGCTTTCAAGCTCTGAAGACAGTTGTTTTTTTTAATTGTAGATTAGAGATCAAAAAGGCTTTTTTTTATTTCAAAAAATGAATAAATGACCATGGAGTATGAACATAATATCTAATTTCATAATATCCTAACTCTATATCTGGAAGAAGGAATCTGCGCATACTTTTAAAAAACTCAATAAATAGCATCTATTGATCAACATTTGTTCACAGATTCACAACTTCTTCATTGTTTAATTTTTATATCTTCTATTTCAGAAGCTCTTGAAAATTGCATCAAGTCTAAAGTGAACCAGCTCACTCTCAGGCAGAACTATAACCATGAGCAACAATGGAACAGACCTAACCCTTGGTTTCATCTCCTCTTCTGTAGCCATCCTTTTGTTTGGCTCAAACTATGTACCACTTAAAAAATATGATACTGGTGATGGTAACTATTTTTCCTTCGTTGTTTACTTTAAATTATTTTTAAATACAAAGTTCTCTATTTGGGTCTTTTAAAAAATGATGGCTACAAAAATAAATTTTGTTTATGCTGGCACCAAATGAATAAAGCTTAAACTAAATCATTTAATAATGCCAAGCCAGTTATCTGAGAGTTAGTATAAGATAACCTTAAGGTTGTGTTTCATAGTAAAGCTAGGATGGATACTGTCAGGAAAGCTTTTTAGCCATATCTGTTATGTTTACAAAAGAAGAAAGTCCATTCTATGAATAACACGGGTTTTGAAAACACAAATTTCCAAAGCAATTGAGAGAATAGAGAGCAATTTGAGCATAACATGAATTTTGTGTTTGCTTATGTGCAATTTTGAATCTAACAAAACACGGTGAACAGAGAACACTGCATCTAGATGGATAAAGATGCATAGTAATGCGCTCACACACACACCCCTTAAACATCCACCAGCTCCCCCAGCACCACAACCATCCTCATCTAGTGTTAGAACATTCCATCCACCCACTGCACACTAACTTACAAGCTGTAACACTTCCGATGTCCACTTCCATAAGCAAACTTCAGGTCTTTTTCAAGTTGAGCCACATTTATGGTAGCATTTATGAATTTCTTAACCACATACCCAGTGCAAAACTGTACTATCATTTTTATCAGGTTCCTATCTTTTTTTTCTAATATGTTGATGAAGTTTTTGTGTTGTACCCTAGCCCCAATTTCCCCATTAGCTCTGAGATTTCTATTACATGATTTTGCATAGTGCAGTGATTTTTAGGAATGTAATGTCACATTATAGTAGAACTGACTATAATGTGAATTTTAGGGAAGAAGCAACAGTTGTTTTTATCTACCTGCCTTTTATATTAAAGCCAGAAGAAGGAATTGGAGAAGTGATGGTGAACACCTGTTAGAAAGCAGATGCGTTATCTCCCAGATTCTTTATGTCTTGTCACAACTTAGACCATAAAATTAAAAATCTTTTCCCTCCACAGCCGTTCTTTTCCTTTGGAGTTAAGATAGGAATGGAAACTACTAAAAGAGGAACAAAAACCATACTGAGGGATCGAGGACCTAGGTTTTAGGTATTTCACAACTGTATGATCCTGGGCAAGTTTCATCAGCTCTTTTGTTCTCAGTTTCTCATTTATAAAATGAAGAACTTGTAAAATGATGTTCCCTTTCATCTTTATGATCCTACTTTTTTTTTTTTGTCTGAGAGGTTAACGGCCATTTTTTTCTTTCCTCCACAGAAATAGGCAAAAATCTTCCAAAGTTTAGAGTCAGAAGTGTTACATTGAGTTATCAGTGGCTTAGTATTTCTTCCAATGTTGACTCTTTCTTTATCCTTTTAATCTCGAAACCTTGATGCAGAAGCCTCAGAAAGGTACAGGTTTACCCACATCACCATGCGCTGTTCCGATAACTGGCAAATGGCAACCCAGAGCCTAGAAAGGAGAGTAGCCCTGACCTACAAGGCCAATGCTCAGGCTTGTGATGTCTGACTCATCATACTCTAAATGTAACAAGGTCTACATGTGACCATAAATGACTTTATTTTAATCCCAAAGGTGACATAAATGATCCTCAAACGTTTAAATCACTGCTGTACTATTCTGAAGTTCTTAAGGCCATGTTTTTGATGATGGACAGCACTAGGTGTGGCATCTGAATAAAAATATAGAGACTCAGTCTTGCCAGTACTCTGGTAGAAAAGATTTGATTTGTCGAATAGATGGGAAAGGGTATTAAGCAGAAATACACTGCTTAGTAAGCTTTCGAGTCAAACAACCTAGGTTTGAATTCTAGTTCTACAAACTTCTAGCTGTTTGTACAAGTTACTTCATTTCAAATTCGTTTTCTCTGTCTTTGAACTAGGGTTAATTATGATGGACAGTAATTGTAAGAATTACATTAAATGTGCAAAGTTCCTGGCAAATAGGCATTCAGTAAATTGTGGCCATTCCTATAATAATATCTCATTGGTATTCCTAAGCCTTAATTTACTCAAATCAGTTTGAACCACTGACACCAATTTCTTTTATTTCCAGGAATGTTTCTCCAGTGGGTACTTTGTGCTGCTATATGGTTGGTTGCTTTGGTGGCCAATCTGGTATTACATTGCCCTAAGTTTTGGCCTTTTGCAATGGTGGGGGGCTGCATTTGGGCAACTGGTAAAGTATGATATAATTTATCATTTAATACTTTAATCAATTTATACTATGCTCATAATAACTCTGGTTCATAGAAGGGCACAAATTGTAATTCTGAGTAATTCTTAGTCATGGATACTAGAAATTGACAATTTAATTTCTTTCATTCAGATGCTCCATAAATCTTTTTGGTGCATTTCCTAACTAACTCCTCTTAATGATTTCTTTTGTAGTCCCTGATAGATAATTATAGCAATTATTACCAATTGTTCTCTGTCCAAGTATAACTCATATATGAGTTTACATGATCTCACCTTTCTTTCTCTAGCATGTTTATCAGAAAATATTTATTAAATAGTAGTCTCTACTAATATCATTTTTAGGGCTTGTATTTTTAAAACATATATTTTTATTAATTTCAGAGAGGCAGGGAGAGGGAGAGAGATAGAAACAACAATGATGAGAATCACTGATCCACTGCCTCCTGCATGCCCCCTACTGGGGATCCAGCCTGCAAGGGCAACTGGGGCATGTGCCCTTGACCGGAATCAAACCCAGAATCCTTCAGTCCACAGGTGGACACTTTATCCACTGAGCCAAACTGGTGAGGGCAGGACTTGTCTTTTAAAGTAGCCAAGCACAGATACATTATAATTTCAAAAGCACTGGCAGGAAATAAAACAAAAGCTTCGCTCTGTTGCCTTATCAATACCTGAAATTATATAACTAGAATTTATGCCCTTTTTTGGCCAATCAAGAATGTATAAGTACACCTCTGGAGAGCTTTCTTCTTTTTAGCTAAGAGAATTTCAAGTATCAAGGATCTTTAGAGGTAATTTTATTAAAAGCAAATAAATTTTAAAATGTTAAAAATCTATTGGGTACTCACTTAATTTGAATGTCTGCAGAATAAATGATTTAATGAAGTTTATGAGTTGGAGGACAAAAACGTTAACTTTTAAATTTCTACTAGAATTTAAATTATTATCCCTCACTTATACCTTAATGTGATTGTGTTTATCATATCTAATTGGGATAGGAGAACACAGAATGCATCCATTTATCCTGCAGAACTTGATAACCACCCCATAGTATTTATATTCACCCAGTAGGTTCCACTGGGAGTCAATAGGAGAATGGTCTAATTTTAGATATTTGCAGATGTGGATGCTATAGGTCCTAGTAACTGATTTGATATGGGTAGTGGACAAAACGGAAGAGCCTATGGTGATGTCGGGATTTTATCACAGGCGATTAGGAAGGTGGTGGTATCAATGACAAGGATGCGGATAATAAGGGGGAAAACATGTTTGAAATGGAAAATGATGAGTTCAGCTTGGGACTGCCTGAGTTTGAAGTCCCTGATGTTTCCTCAGTGGGGAACATCTGGTTGGAGATCCCTTATTGACAGTTTGAAGCATAAAACTGTAGAGAAGGTCCAGGCTAGACCTATATAGCTGGGAGTAGGTCTCTCTAGTTGATAGCTGAAATCATGGCATTAGCCAAGTACCCAAAGTAGAATATAGCAATAGGTGGAAATGTATTTTAGGGGAAATATTTATCAGGTACCTAAATCTTGAGAGAATGCACTGCAGAGAAGAACAGGAGGGAATCAGGAAATGAGAGCATCTTAGAAGTCAAGAGAGGAAAGCTTTCAAGAAAACATTGCTAGAGCTGAGGGGCTAAGAACTATTTAAAATGATCATGGATTTGGCCCTAAGTGAGCCTCAAGAGGACAAAGCAATGAATGAAACAAGATAGTGAGGATGGAAGAGCAAAGTCTAGGGTCATAGAGGGCCAACAACTTCTATCAGTGGTTGGCTCTGGTTCGAGTCTAAGAGGATGGTCACCACTAATTTAATTGTTGATAGTTATTGCAAAACTTCAGAACAGAGACCTAAGTTAAGGTTGAAGAGTATTAGTGTAGTTAGACAAGGACCTATTCAATATTTTTTGTATGATTTTGCTCTAAGCCTCATTTTTTAGCAATCATAATCATGGGTTTAAATGCAAAAAATGTGGTTATTTTATTTTTAAAAAATGAGGAATTGTGCTTCACTAAATTTGTCCAAATCCCATAAATTTCCATTGAAGTTAAAATAAAAATTAATTCCATTTATAAATGTATTTTCTGTATTGAAAAATAATACCTTTCTTCTGTGTGTTACATCTACAGGGAACATTGCTGTTGTCCCAGTGATGAAAACCATTGGTTTGGGTCTTGGACTCTTAATCTGGGGATCATTTAATGCCTTAACTGGTTGGACAAGCTCAAGGTAACACAAAGCTAACTGTTTCAACTAAGATTCTCTGAGTTCATACTCTATGGAAGGCTAGTGTTAGTGATTGGTCTAGCAAGGAATAACATATGATTCTTATCATTTTAGAGATTATAGCCAAGATATATGCATAAAATATGCTTCCTTTAATTATTATTTACCCAAAGTTCTAAAGAAGTGATCTAGATATTTGATCAGGATATAGTAAAAAATTATCTCTAGGGGGGAAAAACACTAGGGAGAGAGAAAGGGAACTGATGTTTATCTTCCCCTTTCTATTGTGTGGCAATTTGTTAGACATGTTGTATGTATGCATTATTCTTGGCTCATTTTCACAAATATATGAGGTAAGCACTATCTTATAAGAGAACTGATACGCAAAGAAGTTGAGTAACTTGCTGAAGGTCACAGAGCTAATAAGCCAGATTCAGCCCAGGTCGTCTAGTTCTAAAGCATATATTCTTCCCTAGAGTCTGGGCCAGGGACAACAGACTAGGGCCCCGCTTCCCAGACATTTTTGTCAAGAAGGAGTTATTGGAACACAGCCAAGCTGATCTATTTAAGTGTTGTCTGTGGCTGCTGTTAGACTACAATGACAGAGTTGAGTAGTTGCAAGGTACCATCTGGCCCACAAAGCCTAAAATATTAACTCTCTGCTTCTTTAAAGAAGAGTTTGCCAAGCCCAGTTCTAGAGCTGGGCTGTTCAATATAGTTGCCACAGGCCACATGTGACCATTTATATTTAAAGTTACAACAGTATGGTGGTTACCAATGGGAGGAGGTTGGGAAGTAGTCAAGGTTATAGAGGGTCAAATATTTGGTGATGGAAGATTTGACTTTGGGTGGTAAACACAATGCAGTACACATAGATGATGTATCTTAGAACTGCACATAATTCGATTTTAAACAAACAAATAAATAATAAAAAGCTAAAACTATAAATTTAAATTAATTAAAATTGGGAAAATTAAACATTCAGTTCCTCAGTTGTACTAGCCACATTGCAAATGCTCAATAGCCCTATCTGCCTAGAAGCTCCCCACTTGTACAGTGCAGCTGTAGAACAGGCCCCTGATCACAGAAAGTGCTAGTGGGCTGCACTGCACTGCTCATGGTCAGTATTGAGATTAACATTCAAGTAGAGTTTGGGAAATGAATAAAACGGAGGCTCTTACTCTGACCTTACTTTTTGATCTGGTCTTCCCACTTAAGCACTACAACACCTTCAAAACACACTCACCTCCCATACATTCTTTTCCGTCCTTTCCCCATTTCCTACCCTGCTTTTTACATGGACTATTTTCTCTTTTCTTCTTGCCTCCTTTTCTCTCCCCGCTAGATGTTTCACAGTGATTGTTGGTAATGACCATTGCAACGTCAAGGCATGAAAACAAAAAGAACTTGCAGTTATTTATGAGTCTGTTTCAAATGTTATGGGAAATTGCCACCAACCAGTTAGCATTCAGTTACCCGCTCAATTCATTTATTGTCTTTCTTCTTCCTTAGTCTTAGTAAGAAAGGGACATTCACAAATACTTTTACATATATTCACTCATTTAATCCTCATAAGAAACCTATAAGGTGGGTGTAATTGCCCTCATTTATAGATGGGAAATTGAGGCACAGTGAAGATAGTTATCCAAGTCCCATTCAGTGAGGAACCTATGATTGGAATCCAGGAATCTGTCCCTGAGTCCATGCCCTGAATCACTATGATGAACACTTTTTAACAGCATTGACGTTGATGTGATTTCCTCAATTTCCAGGTTTGGCTGGTTTGGAATGGACGCAGAAGAAGTAGCAAAACCACTGCTAAATTACTTGGGCGCTGGGCTATCAGTAGTCAGGTACATAGCTATTTCTAATGATTTATCTCTTCTTTTAAACATTTAGAGTACTTGTTAAAGATCCTGGCTTGTTGACATTTTTTAAACCTCATTTTTTCATACATTGACATGCTTTCCCTCAGATTCTTCATTTACGCAGACAGACTTGGCTTGAGAGGACAAAAAAATGCCAGCTCTGAGGCCAGGGGGCCAAGCCCTAGCTCTCAAAAGCCTTGAGACCCTGGGGAAGTCACTTAGCTTCTTTCAAGCTCACTCTCATTATCTGTAATATTTAAAAAACCATAATAATTGGTTCAAAATTAGAATTAAGTAGCACATTCAAGTAGTTTGCAAGCTAACAAATGCCATGTAAATAAATGTTATGCTGGCTTCCTGAGGCTCCGAGAATAACCACTGATTCTCTTATTATTACTCACTTACTCTGTGCCACCCAGTTTCTACTTCCCTGTCACTTCACTCAACTCTTCTTAACCTGGTTAGGTAACCAACTCTATCACCTATGCAAACATACACCCATTGAACATTTTTAGATGTATCTGTGCCTAGTTGTACATTCTATATGAATGAGGATGAAAATGACTTGGAATCTCTATATGGCCATGTTCAGTCAATAGAACTCTAACAGAAATTAGGTCACCTTACATGCAGTGCCCTTTCCTCTCTAGATGCCATTTATATTCCCTGTCAGTGCTTCACATAATGGATAGCCCTGCCTGGGAAGATTTTAGTGCTTTTTTTATTCTTCAAGGGAAGAATGCTATATTTCCCTTCCTCCGGCAATGATAGCTTTTCCCCAGCCACACTCCAGAAGCAATCTCTTTGTCATTGAAATGTTGCCTTAGAGAGTGGTTCCAGGCCAATTGGAGAAGAAATAACATAGATTCTTCTAAAATAGCGGATTCCTGACATTTTTGGTTGGAGGCAATTTTATGAATTCTGCATAATTCATACAGCTTTGAATAGCTCTCTCAAAAACAGTTTCTTTGCACCCGAAAATTGTAATGTTAGCATGCTTTCGTTTTAATGGTAAATAAGGCCATTTATCCAGTCCATCCGGCATTCTTTTTCTCCATAGTTCTTCTTTCTGCAGAAAGTGCACATTCTCTAAAATTACAAATTATTCATGTTCTACCACCTCTACCTGTGTGACACTGGAAAAATCACTTAGTTTCTCCAAAGCTTTGGTTTCTTCCTCTGGGGATAAATTTGTGATAATAATTGCACCAGCCTTGTAATATATTTTGAGAATTAAATGAAATAAAATATATTAAGTGGTTTATATGGTACTAGACACGTTGCTCTATGTATTGGGTAATTTTTATCGTAATAGTCATTTTTATTAACAACTTTCATGTTTATTTGCTGTTTCCCCTTTGGATATGTGTTGTCCAACTCTATGGTAAGCTAATCAGTGCACCCGGGGACTCATGTAGCTTGGTTTGAAGCTTGTCTGAGGCAGGAAAATGCGATGAGCTTTTTCTGTGGTGCTCCCTTCTGTGCTTCTTTACTGACAGGAATTTCTTGGACCTTTCATTTCATTATTTTAACTTAGTTAAATCAGTTTGAAGGGCATTCATTGAATAAGCTTGGAGTTTCATGGTCAGTATAAAAAAACTTGGAATAAGGTTACATTGGTTTAGGATGTTGCTCTTCTTTTTTTAAATTGAAATTATTGCTTCTCTTCTCCACACAATCCAGTTTTTAAAGGATTGGGTAGGTCATTTCTAGCCTTACATTTGTCCTATATCATATCTGCCACAACCTTCGCGGCAGGGTTCAGGATCTGAAGGAGGGGCCAACGCACGAATGAAAATGCTATACAAGAAATATGAATTTAGAAGGCATGGCGGGCCAGGTGGAGACCTTTTTCTTGAAGAGGTACCCCCGAGACTGGGTCCTCTCTGCTTTTTATTCAGTTTTAGATACACATCTTGCCCTCTAGCAATGCATACAGACATATCAAAGGTAAAGTTTGGTAAACAGTAAAAGGATTATCAGGTTAAGGAATTGCCTTGAGCCACCACTATCTCAACAATCAATGCTTAGCATCAGCCCTGCTAACGCCCAAGGTCCATCAGCCTTCCGTGTTCCTTGGTGCACTGACAGTATTGACAAGCAGTGACTTCCTACAAGTATCAGTCTGTCTTTACAATCAGTGGTGCTGTTTAAGTATTTTAAACAGCAGAGGATTTAACACAGGGGATTGTTTACAAAGTGTTATAAGGCCCAATGGAGCCGGAGAAGGAAGATGGTACCATCATACACCCAGAGCACACATCTGGCCAGTACTGCTGAACAGCTGCCTCTGCCCTGAGCGACCTACCGCTGCTGCTGAAATTTCTGGAGCCATCACCAAAACCAAATGGTGTCTCCCAACTTTTAATCTTGTGCATGTGCCTTCGCTATCAATACAGTTTGAGAAAATGTAGATTTCAGTTTTCTAAGCCTCATATTTAGGAGAGAATCTATGAGGGTGGGAGTAGAGCTGACACCAAGAAACAGTGTCCAGCACACTCTCTTAAACATGTCTTAATGAAGATCCAGGAGTCAGAGTTCATACAAAAGCAGATTTTCTTTTCAATTAAAATTAATGCTCTGGATTTCCCCAGGGTCTATTCTGTATTCTTTTCTCTTCTCACTTAATTGGTCTTCTCATGAGAGTTGTGTTGTGACGAAACCCAAATCTTTGTTTTTAGCCATTACCTTTTCAGGGCCACAGTCCTTACATCTATCTATAGACCAGGATAGACATCTCTACATAGCTGCCTCCCAGGCTTCTCCTACTCAATTTGAAGTAAAATAAATTGTGCATGAGGACTCTGCTAAGTCAGCACTCTACAAACACTAGACGTTTAGTTCCTTGCTCTTTGCCGTCAGCATTTTCCAATCAGAATTACTTTTCTCATTTTACCCTTCCCTGCAACCTGGTTCCTCTTCCTGAATTCCCTCTTTTCATAAAAGGTATTAGCCACAATCTTTCAAAATCAAAACCTGTCACCTTAATTTTTTTTATTTTACGCACCACCCTTTATCTAATGTTATAAACGTCTGAATATTTCACAGGTTTTCCATTACTTTGGGTCCTTACTACCTACCCATCTATATACCTCACATTTAATTTCCCTAGTTCCATTCTTTCCTTTTGCCAGTTTGACTTGCTTGTATGTGCTATCAAATCTGGTCATCACTCTTCTATTTGAGAACCTCTTCAGTCTCCCCCTTGGATTCAGAATAAATTTGACTCCTTAATCTGGCATATCCTTCACAGTGTTAGCTTCAACCCTTCTTCCTAGTGCATCTTTCTCCCTGCATAGTTGTCCCTCAGTATCATGGGGCATTGGTTTCAGGACCCCCTGCAGATATCAAAATCACAGATACTCAAGTCCCTTATATAACACAACCCTCCCATATACTTTAAATAGTTTCTAGATTACACGTAATACCTAATACAATGTAAATGCTACTTTATTGTTTAGATCAGGAGTGGACACACCTGTGGCTTTGGTAGATGGCCTCACTCTCCTCCATGGGAGTTGCACAGTTCTGTTGCACAGTTCTGCACTCCCAATCAGGGGTACCTGTTTCCAACTGAGATGCTATTAAAATTTGGAGGGGGGGGTCAATATAATAGTAAAAAAATATTATTTCAAGGTATTTTTTATTTGTATTATTTTACCATGTAATTCCAGGGTTAAGCAGGAATGAAAACAAAGATGGAGCCATGAACTGAAACAAAATCAAGAGAAAGATCTGATTTAGGGGGAAAGCCTATGAGTTTAGCTTTTAACCTGTTGCAGTTAAGGACCATGAGAGACACCAAAGAGAATGGCAGTCCTGGAGAAATGGCAGAACCACTGAAGGGGCAGTTTGGAAGTGATCATCATGCCATTAGAATTTTATTTAAGCTGTGTTTTACTTGAACCAGGGTTCAAGAAAAATATCACTAAAATTTATTTTCTTTACAGTACTTTCATATTTTTCTTCATCAAAAGTGAAATACCAAAGAACACGTGTTCTATGGATACCACACCATTAATGACAGAGCATGTAAGTCTAGCCTGAGAGACGACTTTATTTGAAACATAAAATTAAGATAAAAGGAAAATGCATTGATTCGAAACTAAGATGAGAAGGTGGTGGTTTTCATGTTTTGTTTTGTTTTTTCCAGTCAGGGCTAAGATATCTTATTTATTACAACTAAGTCTATGTAGCAATATTTCCCCAGGAAAGCTTCTCAGCAAACACATGAGCCTATTTATTTTTGTTAACAGTAGATTGCTACTAGGAGATGTATATATACTATATCAGCCCACATTTTGGGATGATTTAAGGATTTCTACACTAGGAGAACCCTGAGTGTTGTAGAGAAATATGAAATTTACTTTAGAAAGAAAGAGGAAGGAGGTTTTAAAGTAGGCTCAGGGAGGCCAGGGGGCATAGGTCAGAGGAAGCCAATGAAAGTGTAGGTCGAGGCATTCAAAAGTAGGAATTGGACTTTATTTTCATCCTATTTCTCTTTTCTGCCATATCTTATTCCACTCAAAGGCAAAGACAGGAAATATGCAAGAAGTGACTGTTTGACTTTGATGAACCTAAATTAACCTGGAATAGCAAATCTAGATTAAATAGGAGTAACCTTTAGGAGAGATCTGACACAGCAGAAGTGCCAGGACTACTTATGCAAAAGTGATTTCCGGGTAACCCCTCATTGCTGTGAGCCCCGACTCTAGTCCTTCCTATTCCAAGATTCTCTTCTACAGGCAGTGCCTGGTGCACAATAAGTGCCCCCTGGCTGCCCTCTGAGTCTGCCGTTTCACACCTGCACTGAGGTAGTGCCTCCCTGGAAGGTGCTGCCTCTACTCCTTACTTCAAAATCAGTCCTATCTTCTCTCTTTCTTCTTCTCTTATCAAAACACTTATCAGTTAAGGTGACTGAAACCTCAGTTAAACTGACACTAAAGTTAAATAAAATTAGCTTAAGTGTAAGAGAAAAGAGATTTATTAATCCAGAAGCATCTCTAATCAGGGAAATGTTTTCAGGAGAATGGAGGAGTTAGGGGGTGAGAGAAGGTGTCTGGTATTCCTTGTCCACTTTAGGGATCCAGATATATCTCCTAACCAACCACCCTTCCAGCAAAGGAACAAAAATAAAAAATAACATAAATGCAACCTGGTAATAGATACATAGTAGGCAAGATTTTTCTAGGCAAAATGGAAGGATACAAGTAAACCAAGTTTAAAGGTGCATAAACAGCATAATCGGTTAGTACGCAAGCACACACCATGAGCTCCTCAGTTATGGCCAAAGGAAAATGTGACTTAGTACATGGAAAAGAATGCAAATCTACTTTCTTATCTCTTACAAAAGCAGGAGTATGACACCAAGAAACTTCAGCTAAGAGGCAGGGATGATTACAATAGTAGAAATTCTATGAATTTGCTCATAATTTTTTTCTGACTTAGAATATTAGCCTAATTTTGAAACATGGCTAGAAATGTCTTATTAACTAATTTCAATATTAAAAATTTTTGAATAAAATGCCTATTGATCTAAGGCAGTCCAGAGTAGAAGGATCTTTGAGTTTTCCTTGGTTTTAATTTAACAGATTACCAAAATATGCAAATGAAACAAGCAATAATCACTTTTATTAATTTTGATAGGTGTCTCAAAATTGACCTATGTTAAAACTGTAAAAAAAAGCCCTAGCCAGCTTGGCTCAGTGGATAGAGCGTCAGCCTGCGGACCGATGGGTCCCAGGTTCGATTCCGGCCAAGGGCACATGCCTGGGTTGTGGGCTTGATCCCCAGTAGGGGGTGTGCAGGAGGCAGCCGATCAATGATTCTCTCTCATCATTGATGTTTCTATCTCTCTCTCCTTCTCCCTTCCTCTCTGAAATCAATAAAGAAATATATTTAAAAAAAAACTGTAAAAAAAAAATTTACACGGACAACTTACCAATTACCCACCCACCAGTTCCAAATTAAAAGAGGATCAGAATCAGAAACATTTGAGTCTAGGAATATCCACAGAATCAGAACACATAGTATAAAATGTTCATATTTTAAAGTATGTTTGAATAGAGAAAAACACTGAAAATCTTTTTGTCACCAAAGTGATTATCAAGTGACTGCTGTTCTTGTTTTGGTTTGTGCCTATGCTTTTAATAGGTGACCAACAAAACTCAAGACCCCTGTCCTGGCTCCTCCTGGGTGGATAAACTTTCTCCAGTGCAGTCCCGAATGGTGTAAGAAGAGGGTCTCGTATTCTGTTTTCTATTTGATTAAAGCAAAGATGACCAGAGTGAAGTGGTAGTGGTCTGAGTTCGAGAAGAAAATGGTAACACGAGCTCTGACTTTTTTTAGCTCCATGATGGAGAGACTCTCTTATTCCCTGCTGAATTTTTGGATGCAGAGGGCCTTTGTCTCAGTGCTTCAAGGAATTCCTGAGCCGCTGCAGTATCCTTAGCCAAAAAGTAGCTGATAAAAAGCAATCTCATTTTGCAAGACCTTTGTACCGAAAGTAAAAGAGGTCGTACAGGCCACAGCATGCGAACAGCAATCCCAGTTGAATTAGGCAACTCACTTCCCTAGTACTGCCTTGCTCAGGATGTGCACCTTCCATAGGAGATCTCTCTACTGTTGTTAGGTTTGTAATCCCAAGATATTCCTTGTCAGATATAGGAGAATATTTGTTTCTGTATGGGTCCTACCTTCCTTCCCCACATGACTTCATAAGAACTGAAAGACTTAGGCTCAACATCAGCCCCTGTATTTTAAGGGTTTAGGGGCTAACAAAGAATTATGAAACTCTGTAATAGTATACTGCTTGCATTTTACAACTGATGGCTGTTTTGGACTTTATGTAGTGACATCTTCTTTTGCCTCAAGAATATAAAGCATTTCTTCTGTGAGCATATACAATATTCTCTCAATGAGAAAGAGGTAGTGTCTGGCGCATAGAAAATGCTCAGTAAACATTTGAATAAATAGAACAAATGAAAGACATAAACAAGCTTTGGAAGAATTGAATACGTTGCTCTTTTTGTTTCAGAATAAAACAGATCTCTCAAACAAAATATTTTTTTCACAAAGCATCTCCTTGATTAAGGAAATGTTTGTTCAGAAAAATATGTTTAGTTGTCTCACAATTAGCCAGACCTGGTCTATTAGCCTGGTCTGTGTTGGGGACATGCCTCCAGGACTGTGAGGTCCAGGCTTCACCATGACATAGGATTTCTAATGTGAATAGAGATCAATGCTGAGTTGGCCCTCTGAGCTTTCACAATTTTATATTCCTTAAAGCTCTATTAAAATAGACTTCAAGAATTTCTTTTTAAGTTTGGGAAGGATGGTTTTTGCCTAAAACTCTTTCCTGTTTCATGCCATTGTCCTTTTGTATTAAGTTAAAGGGATTCTTAAAAAAACTAGTCATCTACCCCCAAAATCATTGGAAACACTTGCTTCATGTAGATAGCAAGTCTGAGGAGTCAACATAACTCTAGGACTTAAAAAGAAACATTTCCTTCTTACAAAAAGCAATAGTTTTACGTTGACTACCTAGATTGTTCTATTACATTAGCACTTCCTCTTGACCATGCCACCGTCAATAAGACACAGGCAAATCGGTGGATCTCCATAGTTGTTTTGAACAAACCTGGGTTTAGTACTTAGTATGCCCTAGCCCTGTGCTGGATATTATACAGTGGTTTTTGTGTGTGTGTGTTTTTTAAAGCAGAGGGCATAGTGTCAGTCCACAAATACTTCATAATTTAATTTGAGAGCCAAGTTTATTTATGGAGACTGTATAATATGATAGCAATCTTCTCAACTATGTAATGACAATTTATAATGATAATCCAAATATAATTTCTGTAAATCATGCATTTCCAGAATTAGACAGTGGAAGACCTAAGCTGCACTCTTAGTCCTGATGGCATTCTGACCCTGCAGGGTACTTCCTTGACTTCTGCCCAGTCATAGAGCTTGAGATAGATGGGCGATTTCTGCATAATTGCTTGTGATTTGCATTTTGAAGCATGCTTTAATTATGATTCCATTTGTGTGTTTGACAGAAATATTGCTTTCGACCAAGATTAATAGCAATTGTTTGTTTTTTTAAGGGGCTGCAGTCTTGCAGTGATATCTGGAATACTCTATGGATCCACATTTGTGCCAATCATTTATATCAAGGACCACAGCAAAAGAAATGATAGTATATATGCAGGGGCAAGCCAGTATGGTAAGAGTAAAAAGTTGTTTTACTTTATCAATAAACTTAATACCTGATTTTCTACTTAAGAAAGGTAAAGGGATTAAGCAAAACAACAAAAAACCACAAAACTCATAAACACAGACAACAGTATGGTGCTTACCAGAGGGAAAAGGAGAGGGGGCGGCGTGGAGAGATAGAACAGGGTAAAAAGGGATAAATGGTGATGGAAGGAGGCTTGACTTGGGGTGGTGAACACACAATACAGTATTGATATGATGTATTATTCAACTGTACACCTGAAACCTATATAATTTTATTAAGCAATGTCACCCCAATAAATTTAATTAAAAAAAGAATGTGATCATAGTAAATACTGGTACATACATTTGATCTTACTTTTTCATTGCAAGTGGTGAATTAGGCACTAAAGATTAAAAGTAATAAAAGGCTGTTTGAGTATTTTCATGTGATCTTTAAAATAAAAATATAATCAACTTTACTCTAGTCAGCATTCAATTCCTTGGATCTTAACACATGGTTTCCAGCTTTACACTAAGCTTTGGAGATTATTTTCTGTTAGATGATCTGTGAGAAAATATGTGTTCTCTTTAAAAAAACACAAACACACACACACACACACACACACACACACACACCCCTAAAATCCAGTACAAAGTACTTTAAAATCAAGTAATGATCTAAGTATAAGCTTCCTAAAGGTCATGGTAGAGCCTATTTAATCAGAGGATATTACTTTCTAAGCACAGAGTGGTACATTGAAAGGCCCAACATAATGCTCCCTAATAATCTGCTTGTAGTGATAGAATTAATTTCTTAGGCATAAATTTAACACTGCGTGCAATAGCCTTGTGGAGGCTCACAAGGAGATGAAAGGGTGTTGGAACATGGCTTACACCCACGAAGTGATAAAAGAATGAGATCATGGGTAATAAAATTCTAAATGAGATGGTACAGAAAATTAATATGGTTGATGTTCAAATAAGGGAGAAGTTCGGAGGGCCATGGTCATGGGGGAAAGCCTGATGGAAAGGCTAGGATTTTAACTTTAGATGCGCGGATAGACTTTGAATAGGTACCATAGTTGCTTTGTCCCTTTTTATACTCAGCCCCATGAACAGTATTCAAACCTTTAACTTCTCCCTTTTCTTTTAGATTTTATACAAACACTTCTCATATTTTTACTCTTTTCATTTTTGAAGGATAAAAACGATTAAAGATAGAATAACACGTGGGATAAATTAAAAGAGAAAGAAAAACAAGAGTGAAAAAATCAAATGGGACCAGAAATTACTGTACTACACTTGTACACTTGAGAGAAATGAACCACAAGTCTGGCTCTAAGATTTCTTACAGCCACAGTGGAAATCAGATCAGTCCCACGATTTAGCGAACACTAGATATAAAACAACTAATTGTTGAGGAGTACAGTTGTCCTTGGTACTGGGACATAATAAACAATGTCCTTGGCAATTTCTTTTCATAAATAGTGCAGTCAGTTCTCGGGGATCTTTCTTATGACAACTCAAATACTAGTATAGCCTGAAAGGAACACAGCTTATTACAAAATAATTCTAGGGGGTGGGCATAATTTTTATTTCACTTACTTAACAAACACATAAGTAGTGCATGCTCTGCTAGGCACTGTTCTAAGCTCATTACAATAATAACTCATTTGTAGCAATGTTATTGGTTGAATTCCACTATAACAACATTACTGGTTGAACACTGCTAATTATTCTTTTTTTAAAATATATTTTTATTGATTTTAGAGAGGAAGGGAGAGGGAGAGAGACAGAAACATCAATGATGAAAAAGAATCATTGATTGGCTGCCTCCTGCACAACCCACACTGGGGATCGAGCCCACAATCCCGGGCATGTGCCCTTGACTGGAATCAAACCTGGGTGGGTCCCTTCAGTCCCCAGGCCGATGCTCTATCCACTGAGCCAAACCAGCTAGGGCCTGTTAATTATTCTTGTTTTATCATTGAAAAATTAAGACAGAAAGAGATTAGGTAATTTACTCAAGTCTCTAAATTAGCAAGTAGTGGATTGAGGATTACCACCCAGCTGGCCTGTGCTTTTCATTGTTATGATATGCTGCTATTTGCGGTAGTGCACAGATGGGTGGGTGTGGTGTTCTTATGTGATCCAGAAGTAGCACTTAATGTTTTTGAAGAATAGACAAACTCTTTGATCTTCAAACTTTCCTCCCTAAATATGACCATTTATCTTAAGTCAGAATTTTAGTTGAGAGAACCATTGAGTCCAATGTGGCTTCCCAGCCGGGACCTTAAGACACTCATCTTTATGGTCAAAGTACCATTCTCTTAAACAGTCAGTGGAGTTGGGGTTTCTCAGACCATCATGTGTTAAATCCCTCGTGTAATTAGGTTTATAATAATCAAATGAATAAAACTCTCTTTGGGGTAACTTCCTAATATTCTTCTATATAGATGTCATCTGCAACAGCGATACTGGTCTCCAGATTGATCACTAGACCATATGAAATTAGCAGTCCCCCAAAATTTTACACACACCCCTCCCACTACAGCCTACTGGAAATTTGCTACAATTGCTGCAGCCATTAGAGAAATTAGGTCTGAATACTATTCTTAAAAAGGAGATATTAACATTGTATTCACATGGTGCTTCTTATTTAGCTTTCCAAAGATGATCATAAAAGCGAGCCTTTTAGATTTAATTATGGTAATTAATTTACTACTTACTATTTTCTGGTTTTAAATATGTTAATTATAACTCTGTGTAAAGGGCATGCAGAAAACTAGGGTGATAAAATATAATTAATGGTGCCTTTATGTTTACGATTCATTTTGGTAAGTTTGTTTTGTTTTAGAACTCTACATTTGATGTGACTGAAATGATACACTTGAGAGCTTTATAATCTATTTTCAGATTTAGACTATGTTTTTGCACACGCCAGTGGCATCTTTCTTACGAGTACCATCTACTTTCTGGCTTACTGTATAGCCATGAAAAATAATCCTAAACTATATCCTGAAGCAGTCTTGCCAGGTAAGAATATTTACTACAGAAAATCTTCTCACTCTGTAAAAATGTCATTCTTTACTCATCTATATATATAAAAGCCTAAGTGACCAGCCGACCAGCCAGTAGCTATGATATGCACTGACCACCAGGGGGCAGATGCTCAACGCAGGAGCAGAAACCACAGGCATGGAAACAGAACAGACTGATGAATCTCAGAGGGAAGAGGGGAGGGCGGAGAGCGGGAAGAGATTAAGCAAAGATCTTATATGCATACTAGAGGCCTGATGCATGGATTCGTGCACCAGTGGGGTCCCTTGGCCTGGCCTGTGCCCTCTCACAATCTGAGGCCCCTTGGGGGATATCGGAGAGCCAGTTTAAGCCTGATCCCTGCAGGCCAGGCCGAGGGACCCCACTGGTTCACGAATCTGTGCACCAGGCCTCTAGTTTAACATAAATAATCATCTTATGGAAATCAAGACATTCTGTGTGTGTGTGTGTGTGTGTGTGTGTGTGTGTGTTTTCATTCGCTTATTGCTTTAGCCCAGTTCACCACCAAATATGAAGGATTTATAAGCCATGAAACTGAATGTAAAATGCTAGTCATTATTATAGATCTTAAAATTTGAACAATGAATCTAAGATCATTTCCTATGTCAAAACATCTTGACCATCAGACTTTATTAATTCTTCTTTACTATCTAAGGATTCCCATTAAAAGTCAGAGTCCTATGACTTTGATTTTTAAAAGTATCAATGAATAGGAATCTGCAGTTACTTGGGAAAGCAAACATTTTTTCCCAAAAAGTAAGGAGAAATTGATTGAGAGCTCAAAAAGAGTGTTAAATGCACATGCTTTTGGACGTAATCCATTAGGCATTGATGATAAAAAATATACATAAATAATTTCTCACTTATGATTTTTCTACAGTCAATTTGGAATAAAGGTCCACAAGTAAAATTTTTATAGAACAAAATAAAAGCATATGTCAGAGACTCATTTTTTTTTGAGTGCCTGATTGATTTAAGCCAAAGTGTGCCACTATACCACTAGACCATTATAGAAAACTAGAGGCCCCGTGAACAAAATTTGTCCACTTGGGGGGGGGGGGGGTTGTCCCTCAGCCCAGCCTGCACCCTCTCACAGTCCAGGAGCCCTCAGGGGATATCTGGGCTAAGCTAGCAGTCGTACATCCTTAGCACTGTCACAGAGGCGGGAGAGGCTCCGGCCACCACCGCTGCACTCGCCAGTGTGAGCCTGGCTTCTGGCTGAGCAGTGCTCCCCCTGTGGAAGCGCACTGACCACCAGGGGTCAGCTCCTGCATGAGCATTGGCCCCCTGGTGGTCAGTGCACATCATAGAGAACAGTTGAGCTGCCTTAACATATCATTAGCATATTACACTTTGATTGGTTGAACAGACAACTGGACAACTGGACACTTAGCATATTAGGCTTTCATTATATAGGATGATAGAAGGCTTAGTTAAATTATCATGAAATTTTTAGCTGGTATTTTCATATAAATTCTAGGTTTTTTTCCTTAGCTACAAGCAACATTCAGAATTTCACATATTGTTATGTTCATGGTTTAGAGTGAATGGTGATTGCAGAGCATGTTCAGATCCAGTGTCTTTCCCAAGCCCCTCTCCAATACCCAATCTTTACTCAGTTACTACTTTGGGTACTTTATTTCATGTCAATAAGTTGAGAGGATTGATAATGGTACCCACAGCGGTCAGGAGCAATCAGTTGGTTTCCAAAATGATCATAAAGCATACACAAGTTGGCCAACAGTGTGTATAGGACTGCATTGATATGTGTACTTTCATATTCCTGCTAACTCTAGAGCATGAATTTTTCAGGAGGGGAATGTGTCTTGTAAATGTGCGATGTTTGCGTGTGTTTCAGGATTTCTGTCGGGAATACTTTGGGCAATAGCCACCTGCTGCTGGTTCATCGCTAATCACTCTCTCAGCGCTGTGGTCAGTTTTCCCATCATCACTGCTGTGAGTAGCCGAACTGTTTCTCCACATTTCTGTTTTTCAAATGTAAATCTAATTTTTTTGAAGCATTCTTAGTGAATCACTAAGACTGTTATGGAGTTTGATTTTTTTAGGAGGACAATTCGTATAATAGAGATTCATGTACATTAGGGGTGGGGAACCTTTTTTCTGCCAAGGGCCATTTGGATATTTATAATTTCATTTAATGAGTCAAACAAAATTATCAATTTAAAAATTAGCCTGCTATATTTGGTCAAACATTTTTTAAAAATATATTTTATTGGTTTTTTACAGAGAGGAAGGGAGAGGGATAGAGAGCTAGAAACATCGATGAGAGAGAAACATCGATCAGCTGCCTCCTGCACACCTCTCACTGGGGATGTGCCCGCAACCAAGGTACATGCCCCTGACCGGAATCGAACCTGGGACCTCTCAGTCTGCAGGCCAACGCTCTATCCACTGAGCCAAACCAGCCAGTGCTGGTCAAACATTTAATTAACCCACCCCTAATGCCTTGGCAGGGCCAGACCAAATGATTTTCCGGGCCCCTAATGTAGATAAACTGATACCCTCTATGTCATGTCCTTGAGTGCTAAGGGAACAATGGGTCACTTCACTTTAGCAGGTTTGTTCAATTTTTATATCCTTGCAGTGTTTGTCGGGTCCTTTTACCTACTGTCATTTTGGATACATTATATCTTGCTACTTATAACAATATTCACCTCTCTATATAAAAGTTTATAAATGTAAAAATGCTTTGGTATTATCACACTTGAATCACATGACAACCTTGTGAAACAGAAAGCATTTCCTACTCCTCTTCATAGGGAACTTCAGTATTTTTAAGGAAGGCTTACAGAAAATGCTAAAGGAAAGTACTGTGTCTGGACAGTACCATTCATCATGGCAGACATATTACAATTTGCTTCATCTGACTTTTTTTAGGTGCCAATTATGTACAATATAGCTAGGTAACAGAAAAGCAAAACCACTTCCTTTGACATAGGCAGGACAAGTAGTAATAAGATTGTCCCCATTTTGCAGATGAGAAAATTGAGGCAATCTCTCAGAGCGTTGTTGGAGTGAGAAAACAAGTGGAAATCTCAAGCCTTCTCCATTCAGAGTTTCCAGTACACAGTGCTACTTTTTGCCATCAGTATAGGATCCAATTTAGAGTTTGTTTCAGGTTCATTATGGTAATAGGACTGACATATATACACACGGCAGCCCCTGCTTTTAAATCATCGTCATAAAATTTGCCTGAAACATTTCATCAGCACACCTGTGCAAACCTAGAAAACCAATTTTTAAAAACATATTGTCTAATCTAAAACACATTGCATTAAAGTTTGAAACATCCTTAAATTGTAATATAAATTCTGGATTTCAAACAGTATATTTTTCACAATTCTATTATGTTCATAAAATAGTTAGCTTTAAAGTGCAACTAAATAAAATAAAAACTAGTTGTGTTTTGTTTTGTTTTTTAATTTAAAGAACCCACATTGTGACATTTATAATCTCTGCTGAGGGGAAATGTTATCGAAATCGAATATGTTATAAGGAATATTTTTAGGTTTAAGTCCTCATAATTGGAATGGCAAAGAACCCAAAGTCTTTCCACAAAAGGGTTTGTTTCTCATCATATCAAGGATATTTAATGTTAGAAGTGACCATATGATATGGGAAATATAATGGGCAAGTAAATTTGCATGGAAAAGTATACAGTATGATATTCTCCTTGACTGGAGATATAAATATTATATTCTTGAACAAATGTGGGTTCTCTAAAAAGGGTTTGAAGCAATTTCATATAAAAGACACAGATACATCCTGGCCAGTTTTGCTAAGTGATTAGAGTATCGGCCCATAGACTAAAGGGTCTCAGGTTTGATTCCTGGTCAAGGACACGTACCTAGGTTGCAGGCTCACTTGATCCCTGGCCCTGGGTGGGGGTGTGTGCGGGAGGTAACTAATCCATGTGTCTCTCTCTCACATCGATAACTCTCTCTCTCTCTCTCTCCCTCTTCTCACCTTCCCTCCACTCTCTCTAAAAAAAAAAAAAAAATCAATGGAAAAAAATATCCTTGGGTGAGGATAATTTAAAAACAACAACAACACACAGATACAATCAAGCCACAAAAGACAAATAGAAACACAAATCGAATATTAAAACTATAATAAAAATGAGAAAGGAAGCAAATAGCACAAAGGGTAAATATTTATGCAACTAAAAATTAAGTTTTGCTTTCCACGTGTAGAAGTGGGTAATACAATGAGGTAGCTAATTATTTTTAACTGATAACATTTTCTCAGCAAAGATAACTTATCTTCTAGCATTACCTTTTAAACAGAATTTATCATATGGGGCCTTTTGCAAGGGACATTAACATTGAGTAATATTCTTTACAAAAGAATGTTTTGATAGAGAGATGGTTTTCCAAACAGTTTCTTGTATTAAATTATGGTAAAGATATACAGCGGAACATTAAAGCTGAGGTCAGTAGAAATGATTTGCTGAGATAGGTGAAGTGTGGGCAGATGGGCCAGTGGGAGTGGTCATGTTAGCTTCAACTGATCTAAGCACAGTCATCCCACCCGCAGGTATAGCTTCCTGTGGTGCTTGAGGACTACTACCTGGAAGGACAGTATTGCTGGGGGACGAGGAATAGGTCCCATTGCCACTAGGCTCTCGCTTGATTTGACTTTTGTTGTCTATTAAGACAACCTTATCCACATGCAGAAAAGATTTAGTCCCTACCCTCAAGGATCTCACACTCTAATTTTATTTTCTTAGCAGAATAGATTTTTTTTTTACTTAAACTTTTTCTAATGGAAAATTTCAAATATACCCATACCCAGTTTTAATAATTATAAATATAGTCATTCTTATTTTATCAAAAAAGTACATTTATTAATCCCAGCAGTTCTGTTTTTCCAGGTACAGATATTTCCATTGTGACGTATCTATTGGAGAGTAGGCTATGAGTTTCTTGAAAGTGTATCTGCATTGCTTAATGGCAAATAACATTCAATTAAAAAGCAAGAAGAAGGAGGAGGAGGAGGGGGAGAAGGAGAAGAAGAAGGAAGGAAGGAAGGAAGGAAGGAAGGAAGGAAGGAAGGAAGGAAGGAAGGAAGGAAGGAAGGAAGGAAGGGAGGGAGGAAAACCAAACCTATATAGCCCAACATAGGCCGAGAAAGAGCTTGTTACCTCTGCTCCATGCCTTCCCCCTGAGCCTAAAAGTTTATCCAGAGAGTTGAGCTTCTCAAGATGGCTCAAGCTCACCTCGTTTTGAAAGATTGATACAAATATATTTTGTATAAATGCACAAAAGGAAAAAATACAACCCAACTGCCAAAGCAGGTGTGTGTCTTATCTAGGAATGCCCTTCCTGTTTGGCTCTCCTTTGCCTGAATCAAAGCATCTGTACACACTGTGACTTCAGCTTGCATTTAGCAAAGCACTTCTTCCTACAGTCGCATTACTCGTCACAATACCCTTTAGGCGCTAAGCAAATATTTAGAAAATCATCAGCCTAAAAGTCTCAAAGGTCAATGATACCTTTTGGTATTATCTTCCACCATGTACTCTGAGGGAAATTCATTTCCTGATTAAAGAGGATAAAATTCTTAAGCAAATAGCAAGATAACATGAATGTTATGTTCTTATTCTATTGTCCGAAGCCAGGATAGAATTGCCTAAAGGACCCGGATGAGTCTTGTTTGGTTTGGGTTTTGAGGCTTAGGACCTTACGTCATTGATAACAGACAGTTCCTTTGACCTATTGCTCTGGCTCTTTTGATGTAGGCTTTTCCAGATGCTGACAGAGAGTGATGTATTTTTATTACTTCTCTTACATGCCAGAGTGGAGTCAGACTTTGTTGACCCAGCCATGTGGACAGTTGGAGTAGTGGGAGAGGGAAAACATGTTGGAATTGTTTATTTGAAACTTCCAGAGTTTGTGCAGGCTTGAAATGGAATCATAAACATGCTAACACAACATACCTTCTCCACAAAAACCATGCTTAATTCAAATTCCTAGTATAGAGTGTGCAGGAGGCAGCTGATCAATGATTCTCTCTCATCATTGATGTTTCTCTTTCTTTCCCTTTCCCTTTCTCTCTGAAATCTATATATATATATATATATATATATATATATATATATATATATATATCCATTTTTTACCTAATGCTACTTAGTTTAACTGAGTTAGGGTTGAGATTATTTCCCTGTCAATATTGTTATATTGTATTGCTTTTACAATAGAAAGTTATTTGATTATCAAGTGTCAAATCAGCTCTCCAATTTACTGTATTTACATAGAGTATAGTCACAGGAAAATAACTAATTTAATTAAAGTTCTTTTTTCTTAAGGGTCCAGGATTTGTAGCTGCAATGTGGGGTGTCTTCATGTTTAAAGAAATACAGGTATGTACAAGAAAGGGCAGAGTTATAAAACGGGTAGATCCATGTATAAAGGGTATATAAGACTATGTTTGTGTTATTTTCTGAAAACTGCATTTAACTACTAAACCCAGTGCAGAAAACACATGAATTGAGTTGACAGGTCAGATGTTAAAAATGTGTTTTCATCCCTAACTAGCAAAGAAAATAACAAAAATATGAAAATTATTATAAAACATGTTTCTCTCCACCCCAACCCCCAGTAGAAAAATGCTTTAGTTGATTTTAGATTTCTGAAAGAGATTTGGTTAAATAATCCAATAAAATCGGGTATAGGGAAATTTTATTTTGTGTAAAATATGGTCGATTAACAAAGAAAAGATTCCTTTTATCCCAAAGATTAAACTATCCCCAAGGCACGTCGGTTTTGAGAAAAGATACCCATGTGGGTTCTCCTGCCTCCCAAAGGTCTCCACATAAAAACAGCAACGTTAGCCCTGGCCGGTTTTCTCAGTGGTTAGAGTCAGCCTGCAGACCAAAGGGACACAGGTTCAGTTACTGGCCCAGGGCATGTACCTCGGTGGCAGGTTTGCCCCTGGCCCTGGTCAGGGTGCATGCAGGAGGCAACCAATCAATGTGTGTGTGTCTCTCTCACCCTCTTCTCCCTTTCCCTCCCTCCAAGAATCAATGGAAAAAAATATCCTTAGGTGAGGATTAAAAAATTAAATAAATAAAACATGCAATTTTACAGGAAAACAGTATGGTAACAGGTGACCTCTACCTCTTCCCTCTCACGTGTACTTGATGGTGGTCTAGACACTCTCGCAAGCCATCATAGACATCATAGCTTCTGTCTTAATATGCAGCCGTAATAGCAAGTAATTCCTGGGTCTAAGAAGATCTGATGCTGCTAATCTCTGGGAACCACGAAGTGAACTGTGTCCCTGGCTAATCCTTAAAGTGATTCTTTGATTTGAGATTTAAGAAATCATTTCATTCATTCTAAATGAAACATTTTTATTTAGAAAGCCATAATTTGATAATATGAGTAAAATTCTCAGATGAAATACACATGTTTAGAAGATATTTGGACCATGAGCTTAGTTTTTTTTTTTTAAATACACAAGACAACTGAAAACATTTGTAGATTCATAAGTTACTTTTATGCACGTGTTTCTCATTTATTTTAGTTAGAATTGCTTTCCACAAAAATAATTCTATGCCTGTAACACGCTATAAATCTCTTTGCAAATGTTTCATCTGCCTCACAAAGGATGATTTCTACTTAAGAATTATTATTCAGTGTAACATGCTGAAGCCTTAGAAAATCACAAGTTAGTGACCAGAGCTTATTTGCAGTTAACATATAAAGAAACACAAACTAAGAATAGATTTATTTTAAGCTTTTGAAAATTATTTTGCTTAATACTACAGTAATAATGATACTGAATTTAAAATATTTTTTCTAGATATAAGAACTCTCTTGACAGAATCTCTAACCATTAAGCCTCGTGTTAATTCCTTGGAGCCCTCTAAAAGATACTAAAAGGCATTCAAAGAGGGTTTTCCAAAAATATCAGCTGAAAGTCTTCTGACCCAATAAGACCATTGAGTAAGGCACTGAAATATAGTATAAATATAAAATAAATATCCTTCCAATATGCCGCTAATTATCAATTAAAAAGTGTAAAATAAATGCTATTAATAACTACAAAGATTATTAAAATATTTTAAAAAATCAACAAGAAGTATGCTAGATTTCTAAGATCTTTTACTTTACTACAAAAGGACATAAAAGAAAATCAGAAGAAATGGGGAGACTCACCATATTCCTGATGGGACAACTCACTATGGTTCCTAGGCAGTTCTTTCCAGTAACATTCATTGAGATCCCTATAAAATCCCAACGGGATCCTTTCTGGAATTTGAGAGAATGTTGAAGTTTAGCCAAGTGTGTATATGAAAATAAAAAGAGGGAGGGCCAAGCTGAAAGCAAAGAGTGAGTTTTGTTGACCTTCCTAGAGTTAAAAAATCTTATGAATCTTGTCTACAAACAAAGCTTAAAGGGAGTCCAGTGATACTTATCATTCACTGCAGATGCCTACCTGCCTCTTGACAACTGAGTTAAAAGAGTTTCAAATACTTTACATGCCAACGAGTTTAACTTATCAACTAAACACTAAGCCCAAAATCCTATCAGAATTTTAAAACAATTGTTTCTTCTTAGAAACAACACAAAATCCTAGAGTGAAACAAAAGCAAAACATTTATCTTTCTGACTTTTAGGTCCTGTCAGTTATGTCTTGAATCAGTCCTCAAAGACATATTTTAAAGTCTACAAGTTACAGCAGTAAGAACTTAACAGACACAAGCACTTGTTGTGTGAAAGAATTTAATGCTTTTATTTCATTTTAATGCCATCCACGCTCCATTTGGAGGTTGTGCACGTCTACGGTTCTTTTGTATCTGATATCTGTTCCTCTTTGGGAAGTTTGTTGTATAATTTTATATTTAGCTATTTTAAATTAAACATTCACTATATTTTTAGCAACACACTTTTTTAGTCAAAGTGATACCAATGATTATCGCCACAACAATTTATAGGTCAGTAGCTACCCCCAGATAAAGGATGAGAGGATATATTTTTTTAATCTCAATAGCTGTTTCAAAAATTCAAGTTCAAAACCTTTTGCTTTGGGGAGAATGTTAGCGTGATCTTTCTAAGAGCTAACATTCACCTTTGACCAAGGAAAACTATGACCCAAATATAATCAGGTTTTTTTTTTCTCTCTCCCTCTTAGGAGACTAGGAAGTTTAGACAGATTCGTAAACTTAAAGGGGAAAAATATTTTATTCCCTGAGAACATTATTCTTCTGTCTACAGAGACAATAAAATAGAGAGCTTACCAAAGTATTCACATAATTAGTTGTAAAATGTTAGTTGAGGCCCCATATATTGTTTTTTTTCTTATTTAAGTAATCACATTGTCGAATTTAAAGTAAATTTAGCAATCATTTGAGTGTATTAATTTTTGAACAAATATTTATTGAATACCTATTTTGCACCAGTACTGGTATCTAGGTATAGGTTACTGTCTTTAAAACCAAGAAAAAGATGTCAGGAACTTTAATGCCTTAATGCAGTGTGTGTGTGTGTGTGTGTGTGTGTGTGTGTGTGTGTGCACGCTCTGTACTTGGCAAGGCTTTGTGTTGCTGTCTTGCACTTGAAGAGCTTGTGTTACAGCGACTTCTGATAGTGTTGATGCTCACAGTGAATCAGACAGTACAGCTGGCTCCCACCCAATTTACAAAGACCTCTTTCTGGTAATCAAACAAATTAATCCACTCCAATCCAATTCTCTATTAAGTTGTAAAAAAATAAAAAGGAATACGCATTGTATTGTGTTTGGACTCTGTATTAATTGGCATTAATCTTGATAAGAGCTAAAAATAGAATTATATGGTTTGACTGTCAGGAGATCTCGGTGTAATTTTAGACCATATATCTAAAAGGAGAGAGGCACTGATCCTCTTTTACTTTGCGATATTCAAACTTTCCCTTAGGATAATGGGAACTATATTTAAAGAGGAATATAGACAACCTGGCAATCAATCATTCAGAGGGAACCTGCCAGGATAGTGGGGGAGCTTGAAACTATTCCATATAAAAAAAATGGTCAAAGGAATTAAAATATTGACCAGGAAAGCAGATGCTTCAGGGATATGAGTTATTTTTCAATGTTTGAGAGTTTTTTCTTGTGGGAAAGAGATTAGAAATCAATCTATCTGTACCCCTAGAGATAGAACTTGCAGGAAATAAAATATTTCTAGTTAACACAGGAAGATATTCTTTGTTAATGTAAACATAGACTGTCTACATTGGAAGGGGAGTCTCAGTGTTTCCCATCTCTGCGACCAGTGCACCCATATACAGCTGGACAAGCCAGATTAGTCTGTTTCTTCCTAACCCTTTAGATTGTTCTCTGTCTGTTTACCTGAACTTTATCATCTCTCCCCAGGAGGACTGTAGGTACCTCCTTATTGGTCTCCTTCCATCCATCTGGCCTCCTCCAATCTGTTCACCATTATAAAAAAAAGTGCGAGCTTTATCAAATGCAACTCCTATCTTTTCACCACATCTAGCTGTGTTTGTTCCTTTAATATACTTTCATTGCTCAGAAAAATAAAACTCAAAGGTATGACATGACCTATTAGATCCCTTTATGATCAGGCCCACAGCCTTCCAACCTCACCTTGCCTTTACCTAACTCTCATTGCTCTAGTCACACTGACCTTTCAGCACCTAGCAAGTATCATGCTTTCTCTTACAACAGAGCTTTACACGTAAAGCTCTGAATTTCTACTAGAATTTCAACCTGATACCCTCTTTCCCAGCCCAGTTCATTGATCTTATGGGTTTTCAAGGGAATCTGGATGATTACTTAGAGAAATAACAAAAAAACATGTAGGTGGCTAAGGAAGATGGTTAGTAATGTCCTAGTAGTCTTAAGAATCTGTGCGTTTTTGTGTGTTTGATTCAAGTGTTCTTAATTACAGTTACTCTTTTTTATTATTCAGGGTCAACAAAACTACCTATTAATGATATTTGCATTTTGCATCATCTTGACTGGAGCATTGTGCACTGCTTTTTCTAAAACCTAGCAACCACATGACCAGCAGGTGGCAGCAGTGATTAAGAGAAGGCCTCTACTGGACACTAGACAGATAATGCTGAGAACAGAGATCATTTTCATACCGCAAATGGATCTCAACTCATCTTGGAGTGGGTAAATGATTTTTTTTCATAAGTGTGAGAATAAAGGAAAACATTTTCAGTCAAGTAAAAAAATGAAAAATTATTCTGATGAACTTTTTTGAAGGTAGGACTTTAGGGAGTGACTAGAATGTCTACATTCTTACAGTATCCTATCTAAGGGTGCTCTTTATTCTTTTCAGTACTTTTAAAAATTTCAAAATAAGCATGCACACACAAATAAAAAAGACATAGTTGGGAAATTTTCCAACTCAAGAGTTTCCTCTCCTACAGATAGAAGCCAGAAACTCACTCTCCTAGCCTTCCTTGCGGTAGGATGTGCTGCTCCTGACGGTGTAGCCTCCAAGCCCAATGTTGTGGTCCTGCTGGGGATTCTGTGAGCTACCTAATCAAGTTGTATGATAAACTTAGCCTCATTAAAAACAAACTCAGAAATATATTTATAGCCTATTTTAATCAACTTTAATGAAGTGTAATTTCTATCCAATGAAATTCTCCCATTTTAAGTGGACAGTGCTCTGAGCTCCAGCAAATGCACACGTATATGAACACCACTACAATCTAGAGACAGAACATTTCCAGGAACCCCAAATGTTCCCTTCTGCCCCTTTGTAGTTAACCCCCAAGACAAGGCCACCAATGATCTGTTTTCTGCCTTTCTAGATTACGTTGGTCTGTTCTAAAGTTTTATGTACAAGGAATCACATCAGTATGTACCCTTCTGTGTTTGATTTCTTTCACCTTATAGCCATTTTATATATTTTTTTACTGTGCACAGATGATGTGTTGTAGAATTGTGCACCTGAAACCTGTATAAATTTGTTAACCAGTATCACCCCAATACATTTATAAAAAGGGAAAAAACATTTTTGCTTCTCTGAAACAATTATAATTCTCAATTATTTTTGCTAGTGTATATTCAAAATAACAACTAACACAAAAATAATTAACATTTGGAATCATATTTCAGTGTGTGATATGTCATGTTCCAGGAATTCACTGTTTTAAATTAATAGTGTAGTTAATAATTCTTAGCTACCCTTTGAGTCCATCTCCATTCTATGATATTCTGTTTTGAGAGACTGTAAAACATTAAATTGCTTAAACTATATCACCTCCATTGTCTACAAGTTGAAAAAAGTGCATATTCTTGGGTTTTCTACAACGACCTAATGGATTATGATATCTGGGCTAGAAAGTATGAATATGCATTTTTTAAAAGTGTTCTTAATTATTCTTCTTACACTTGTACTCTAAATTGTATTTGTGACTTATACTTTGATATTTAAAAGATTTCAATGAACTAGAAAAATAAAAAAAGAATATTCTGTCTTCCACTCCTAGAAGAAGAGAGAGAAAATAAAATAAGTTATCTATTTAATTTTATGAAGAATTTTTTAGGAGAAAAAAAATGAAATGCTTAAAACCAATTGTTCAAATGAAATTTTGCCAAAAATAAAAACAATAATAATAACTGTGTATCATACTCTTTTTTTTGGCTCAAACCACTTGACTTTCTCCAAGAGGTCAGTGACCAAATCTGTTTTTACTTTAAACCCTGCAGAAAATTACTCTTTCTCCAGCAATAAAATCTCTAACACAATTCTCCCTGACAAGATCCCATGAAAACAAACAAAAATTCTCATTTATAAACGGAGATTGTCCAACAAAACCTAATGAAATAGGCTAAAAATTAGAACCTAACTTTCTAAAGCATTCCTCATGATTTTCTTAAGTACCTCATAGGTCCTCATAAGACACTGACTGCATTCTTTCATTGTCTCTTTCCAACAAGGTACTTGTAAGCACTGTTTCTAACTCATTCATACCTACATAATTAGAGAGTTTATAAATCTACCTTTCACATATACCATAAAGTTTTGATTTATAAAACTCACCTCAAATATTTTTTTCCAACAGAAAAGGCTGTATTGTCTCCCTTTCATCCAAAAATATTTGAGCATTATATTGGCTTTATATATATGTGGCAAATTTATTGTGAGCTCTTTGGGAGTAGAAGTTGTTTTATTCAGCTTTATATCTCAAAACCTAGCACAGCACATGGCATTAAAAAAAAACAAAAAAGACCTTTATTTTCCTGCCATTTCCCTGAAGAACATCTGAAAGTTACAATCCAAAATTTATTAGCCAATGATACTTTAAAAACTGATTCTTAGTAATTCACTGAATCACACATTAAATATTTATTAAGTGGTTTCTTTATACTTATTTATGATATATTATCAGCCTTTCTGTATGTTATTGAATTTAACTTTCTAAAATTTTGCTAAAAAGTTTTGGTTTTGTGTTCATAAATGATATTGGGTTATAATATCAGGGTAGTACTTGCTCCAAAACATTTGTTAAAAATTGATATTATTTTTCTTAACTGTTTGGTAGAATTCAAAAGTGAAGCTATATAGGCCTCATTTTTTTTAAACAAATATGGAGTAATACAAGTTATCTATTTCTTCTTGAGTGAGCTTTCCTAATTTATGTCTTTCAGGGAATTTGCTAATTTTGTGTACATTGTAGAAATTATTGGCATAATATTGTTTATAATATTTCTTTTCCTTTCATAATTGCAGGATTTGTTGTGATGTCCACTTTCTTATTTCTAACATTGGTAATTTGTTTCTTCTCTTTCTGAACATTATAGTAAAAATTTATCAACTTTCTTAATTTACTCAACAAATTAACTCTAGTTTCCTTGTTTTCTCTTTTATTTTATTGGTTTGTGCTCTTCTATATTACTTATAGTTTCATTTAGGTTCTTAAATAACTTACTCTTATTTCTCATCCCTTCTCCTTCTTCCAAAATTCTAATTTGAATTCAATCTAGTTTGAATTTTCCCCACATCTCATTGATTCTCTGTTCTTTTTTTTTTACTCAGTTCTGTTCTGTTTCATTTTGAATAGTGTCTATTGCTCTGTCTTCAAGTTCACTAATCTTTCCTTCTTCATTGTCCAATCTACTATGAATACCACTCTGTATACTTTTTATCTTAGATATGTTCATCACTAGGTAGGAATTACATAAGAAAAACAATAGGATTTTTAAAAAAATATATTTTATTGATTTTTTACAGAGAAAGGGAGAGGGATAGAGAGTTAGAAACATCAATCAGTTGCCTCCTGCACACTTCCCACTGGGTATGTGCCCACAACCAAGGTACTTGCCCTTGACCGGAATCGAACCTGGGACCCTTGAGTCTACAGGCCGACGCTCTATCCACTGAGCCAAACTGGTTAGGGCAACACTAGGATTTTTAAAAAGTGTCTTGATATTGACAATAAGATTCTTCTAGCAAACAGGGACATCAGAGTTAATTTGATTGGTTTTTAGCTACTGAAGTCCTCATCTGGGAACTTAAGTCATTTTTTTTTTTACATTGAAGACCAACTATCTCTCTAGAAGACTAGTATACTTCTATCTTTTTAAAGATCCTGAGGAAAGTGAAAAATAAAACACAGAATTTTAGTATGTGTGTTGTTATTTACTTGTCATTTTTTGTATTGATGCTGGCGTAACCTTCCTATGTATAATTGACTCATATGATATTGGAGGCTAAGAAGTCCCAAGTTCTGCAGTTGGCAAGCTGGAGACAGACCTAAGAGAACTCAATGGCATAGTTACAGTCTGAGTCCCAAAGCCTGAGAAGCAAAAGGGTTGGTGGTGTGAATTCCCATCTGAGTGTGAAGGCCCAAGAACCAGGAGAGCAATGCTCTAAGTTTTAGTCTAAATCTGAGTTCTCCAAAGGCAGGAAAAGACCCATGCCCAGCTCAAAGACAGGCAGAGAGAGAGTGAATCTCTTACTCAGGCTTTATGTTCTTTTCCAGCCATCAAGGGAATAGATAAGGCCCACCACCTTGGGAAGGGCAATCTGTTTTACTCAGTCTACCTATTCAAATGTTAATCTAATCCAGATACACCGGGAATAATGTTTAACTAAATATCTGTGCACACAATGGCCCAGGCAAGGTGACACATAAAATGAACCATCCCACATATAGTAAACCATTTTATGGTATTTAGCTCTTCAACCATAAAAATATTTTGAGTTTAAACTCTTGATATTACACTGTTTGGTAATACAATTGACCCTTAAACAATGCAGGGGTTAGGGGTTATACACAGATGAAAATCTGTGCATAACTTTGACTCCCCCACAAACTTAACTACATAGTTGTCCTTCTGTCTCTGTGGGGGCTTGATTCTAGGACTCCCCCCATGGATACCAAAATCTATGAATGCTCAAGTCTCCTATATCCAATGGTGTAGATCGATGCATACAGCAAACCTCCATATTCATAGACTCTCAACCGCAGATGGAAAGCAGTACAGGTATTTTCTGTAAAAATTATTTGTGTAAGTGGACCCGTATCGTTCAAGGGTCAACTTGTACTATTTTATGGAGATTGTTTTATAATGTGTCTGAGGCTATAGTAAAAATATGTCTATTATAAACAGACAAAGGAATGTACAATTTGGGAGAAATTTTTTAACTTTGTTCATAAAAAGGCCTACCCACTTAACCACACCCCTGGATCATTTTGTAACAATTCCTCGGTATATATCTAAGAGGAATAAATGTATATATCCATAGAAAATTTTGTACAAAAATGTCCATAGTAACTGAAAACTGGAAATAATCCCACACTCACCAACAGAATAGACAAATTGTGTTATATTCATAAAATGCATTGAAATACTACCAATTGATATTCACATAAAGTGAAGCATCTGGTTGCCTTATCTTTAGCTATTAATGTATATTAAATAATCATTTACTTAATTCTGCTGTATAAATATATTTTCAAATTTGACCACCAGAGGGTAGTATAGGTTTAATTGTGATAGTCTTCATGTCAAAAAATGCAAAATGCGGGGGGGTGGGGGAGCTTTCTTTTTTTCCCCTTTTCATCTCTCTGAAACGACTATACTTTGCCATTTATGGATTTGAAATATGAAATAGAAAATTATTATTTATCTTATATCTCTTATGTCCCAATCGAATTCTCAGTGTGGTGTCTGCTTTTCAGTTATTGGGTTTTCATTAGTTTTTTACTTTATCATTTAATTTCCTGAAAGCTTAACACGTCACAAAATAAATTCATTTTTGGAGTTATTTAGACAATTGCCTTAGAATATTAAGGACATGGAAGAATTTCACAGCCAGTGTTACCAACGTAGATGAACATTGCTGAATAAATACTAAGCTAGAAGCCACATGTTTCTCACAGAGACATAATTTCCAAGTCATCAGGCTGCATGGCCTCAGGTTTCCCTAAGATGCTCCAATAATTCTTCGACTTCATTAGACATTTTGGGTCACAGAGACCTAGAACTATTTGCCCTGCTATTTTTGAAGACCTTTTTGCAACCAACTAGCTAAAATGTTTCCCAATAGGCTATTAAATAATCATTTGCAGTACTTGGGTGAATTCTGAATATGGATTTTGCCATCACTGTTCTATTTCCTGGATACAGAATGGTGGTTTTCTAAGGGAAATGTTTGATGCAAAGTGGGGTAGCAAATGAGTCTGATGTTTGTCTCAGCTCTGAAATGCCTAGTGGAAAATTACCATGAAACAAACTCCATGGAACTAGGGAAGTGGGACATGTCCAAAATGCTCATAAGCTGAGATGTTGTCCGGAATCTTCTTCCTTTCTGTTGATTTACACGACAAACGTCCTAAAGAATTCTGTTTCTTCACTTGCATCTTCATAACTGTGATACTTCCTATTGAGGACCTCAGGCCTGAAATTCACATCACATACACATACTGTCTTGATTATAAGGCCATCAAATGTACGGGAATGTGATCTATTTCTTAAATGTGTGGTAAGAAAATGTATATATAAAACTTAATCTCACAAAATATTACAGTAAATTGTTGTGCGTTTTATTGTGGGGGAGAATTAAAAGCT